GAGGATAACCTCAAAGAACTTGTACGTGGAATCTTCACCCACCCAGTAAGAATTCAGGACCCTCAGGGCCCCGCAGTGGCGGCCAGCTCGTTCCTAGAACACGGAAAGAGAGCCATTCAGCCTCATACAGTTCCAAGATAGCCAGAACTCTAGCTCATGAGACAGAGGGGGAAACTGGTAAGGCAGATTTGCTGCACCCCAAAACACCCTGGTTTCTACTTGAAGCACACCATTCCTCTTTATTGAACACTCAAAGAGCTGTTTTACAACTCAGTAAAAAGATAAAAACCATTAATGGAAGAGGGAGGAAAATGTGCAACAATGGATCAATGAAAATACAACTTTTCTGCAAAGTCTCATCAAAGTTAAAAACAAAACAAAAAAAACCAAAACAACAAAACCACAACACACCATTCTTAGTGGAAGCCCAAGGGCCCTGTCATAAGCCCTCAAAGAGGGTTAATTTATCACTCAAAAGACCAGCAGCATGACCTAACACTGCAGGAGAACAGTCTTTGGAGCAGTTTCCTGTTAACCAGAAGGTTCTAGGAATTCTTATCAATCACACACTGCTCTATGTACAGCACAAACATTACAGTAACAAATCTTCAGAGACCAGCAGTAGGGATACCCCGTACTGTACATAACAGGAGTAATGTACAAGCCAATGCTGTTCAACACCCCCCTCCCCAGGTGACCAGGACAACGGGCCAGAAGCACAGCTGATGGCCAGGTAGATCAATCAGCTCACGTAAAACCTAGGATATGTGGTAGTTTTAACTACAAGTGCTCATATGAACAAGCATGTACAATTTGTGTTCATCAAAGCCTTACTACTATGCTGACATCCCGTACAAGATGTCCCCAGTGTATCTAAAAGCATTTCTCCAATGTTTATGCACACAAGCTTCACCACATAACTGAGACAAATACTTGACTGTTGAGTTAAAAGAGAAGCCCCTTGTTGGTTCTGATTTAGGTACGAGTTTGACTTAGAAAGAAAACCCGTCAGTACCCATAGTCAAATAACGACCACTGACCTCAGCGACGGACTGGAGGCTCCGCGCGAACTTGAGCTGGTTCACACCGTGGTGGACAGGCTTGCCGTAGGTGGCTCCCTTAGGGACCGGGCGTTTGCGGCCACCCCGGCGAACTCGAATCCTGTAGATGACGTAACCTACACAAAGACACCACAGCGGTTTTCTAAAAGCCCCAAGTGGGAGACCCAATGGCATTGTGCCCCAATGTAATGATTTCTTTCAGGGCACACATGCCACGATAGAACAAGGGAAACTCAACAGGCTCCATGCTCCGAAGACACTCTCCATCTACCACGGAGCTCTGATAAGGACCTGTATTGACAACCTGAAGGCATGCTGTCGGAATCCACCACCCGCTTCTAGGGAAAAGGCTGGGCACATTTACTGCCTTGGGAAACTCACTGGAGGATTAACTAGAGGTCAGCCACAACTCAGACAGACACAACAATCACTGAACAGACCAACAACCACCAGAGATCTCATCCCCGCAGTACACGCAGTGCGCTGTCAGAGCAGACCCTCCAGCAGTTTTTCAGAGCCTCTGAAAGGCTCACCTGGCTCCCTAACACGTGTCTCGGGGAAGGTGCAACAGAGCACCTGCTCTCTGGAGCCAAGGACGGCCAAGCTTCCTCTCCCAAACTCTGGCCACGTGGTCAGCAACGGCCAGTCTTTGAGAAGAAAATGTTTAGAAAGGTGGAGGGTCAGCCTCGGACAAGGTGAACGGTCGCCGGGTGTATCACAGATGCTGAGGATGGTACAAGAGCAGGTTTTAGACCTGCTGGTCAAACGGCTGCGGTGACTGTCCTCAACTCAACAGCGCATCACAACCGGTCACCCGGGGGGAGACTGCCCATCTTCTCCCCCAGAGAGAGGCTGCTGGGCTTGAACCATGTGCCTTTAGGTTGGCAGCACATCTCCTTATTAAGAAAGCCATCAGAGAAACTACAGACTAGTAATGCTCAGCCAAGGACATGGATGGGCCACGTGACTGCAGGAAAGGGCTCAGATCTGGGGTTCGCAGGGTGGCGCCTGCACTCTGTCCTGCCGCGTGGGGACGGGTCAGGGCTCAGATCCTTGGTTCCCAGGATCGCAACCTGCCCGGTCCGCACCTTGCTTGGCCTTGTAGCCCAGCCTGCGCGCCTTGTCCGGCCGCGTGGGGCGCGGGGCCCGGTGCAGCGCCGAGAGCTGGCGGTACTGCCAGCAGCGCACCCGCAGGAGGAAGCGCATCACGTCCGACTGCTTCTTCCGCCACAGCTCCTGGATGTACTTGTAGGCGCCCATCTTGGCTCAACCTGGGGAGAGAAGGGCCGGTTAGTGACCGATCGGCTCATCAATCGCCCATCGGCGCCCCTGCGCGTCCAGCCCAGCTCGCCACCGACCACGAGGCGCCGGGCGGGCGACCCTGGCGTTGCACGGAGCCCACCCCGCGCCGCGATGCCCTGTGCTCCGCAGACACTGGCCGCGGGGCCGCCCGGGATGCTTTTGTTGCGCGAACGCACGGCCATGATGCCACGATGCGGGGGTGTCTGCAGCGCCAGGACAAAGACTGACTCTCGAGAAGTAAAAAAGCACCGGCGCCGCGCCGCCCGCCAGGCTCCCGCACGCGCCCCGGGCTCGGCTCATCTCGCGCCGCCATCACATTCCCCCCCGCCTGCTCCCGGGGGCCGCCTTTCCCTCCTCGGACGGCACCGCACCCCGGCTTAACTCGCGCCGCGCAGATGGAAGGCAGGACTACGAGGACGCAGGGTCCCCAAGCCCGGATGGCTGAAGCAAAGCGTGATGGCCCGCGGATAGAAATGCAAGCCAGCAAGAGACAGCCTACCTGATGGAAGCCGCCGCACAGAAAGGAAGAAGCCCTTCTCCCACAATCCCTTTGGGCTCTTCCCTAAACGTAGTGACGAGCTTCCTGTGTGGCTCGGCGGTGGCGTGAGGCATCATGGGGCTTGTAGTCCACGCCGGCAGCCCGGTGGGCCGAGCTCGCTGGGATTGGCCGGAGTCGTCCGTGACTCCGCCCCTGACCGCGGGACTCGGAGCTGGACGGGCGGCAGCATCCCCGCGCAAACAGCTCGGTGGCGTGTCCCCGGCGGGCGAGGGTCGTGGACAGTCCCTCCGCCCGGAGGAGGCAAGTCGGGCCCGGGGTCCTGAAGGCTGCAGACGGCCGTGGGGGGTAGTGCAGCCGGTCATTTGGGGTCAGCGGAAGTGTGCAAGGGGGGGGGGTCCCCTTAGGGCACTGCAAAGGTGCATTGAGCTACGGGGTCCCCGTGCAGTGCTGTCGCGGCATTGGGGGCTCAGATCCCCCGCTATGACCCCAGGGGGACTCGGGGGCCGGCCTTCCGTCCAGTTCTTGGTCCAGGCCCTTGCAGATCCCTGCCCTGGGGTGGGGGGATGTAGCCCTAAAAGAGGCCCCTAACACCGTGGTCGGTGTGCCTTCCATTCTGTCTGTGCACTCGATCGTAGCTTTCCTGCAGCAGAACCTGGAATTTTTTGGGGGGCTGTTTATGAGCAAAGCAAAATATTTGTTTGCCAAGACCTCTTGGCAGATACCAGTGTGTTGGGAACCGATGCCTAGGAAATGCTGGCAAAGGCTGTTCTCTTTTTTACTGGAAGATCGCTGGGTTTTATTTGCGGCGTCACTAAGATTTTTTTTTCCATTTTTTCTGATGCAGTGTGTATCACTAACATTTTTTTTTAAAATGCAGTCTATATTTCATTCCCTTCCGAGCCTAGGTTTTCAGTGTGGCCACTATTGCAGAAAGAATGATTCTTACCTTCTAAAGGATTGTACTTCGGAGCTGTAGTGACAAAGTGCATTTGGGGGGTTGAGCTGAAGGTCGGAGGTTTGAATCCATCCGTAGGGAGTAGGAAGGGGCAAGGTAGTGTGGTTGAAGAGGAGAAGATGGGCTGTCATCTCCCTGAAAAGACCCGCAAAGACAGACTGAGTTGGAATCACTCCATGGCAGTGACTTTGTTCTGTTGCATTTTTCTAAATTATTAGCAATTTCAAATAGTCATTTTTAACTAATTAAGTTTTCCTTTAAGGAGTTCTGTTGGCTCAATGGTCAATCCCTTGGCTGCTAACCGGAGAGCAGTAGTTTGTTTTGGGGCAGAGAGCTGGACTGGCTAGAGCATTCTGGTGGCCTAGCAGTAAGGAGGTGGGCTGCCAACTCAAAGGGAAGATGTTCAAATCCACCAACTGCTCCGTGGAAGAAAGGTGGCCAGTCTCTGACTCTGAAAACCAGCGGGGAAGATCAGCTTTGAATTAATTCCAACTTAAGGGCACACAACAACAACAGCTTTGGAGGGAGAAGGCCCCCTGTCCTAAAGCTCACAGCTTAGGGACGGTTAAACTCTACACACAGGTCTTTAGGACTCGGAGGAATCCTAGCCAAAGCACACGGGATTTTTCTGTTCCTTGGCCTTTTTAAAACTCACAATTGACTATTCAAAGACATTTGACTGTGTGGGTCATAACAAACTGTAGCTAACATTGAGGAGAATAGGCATCCTAGAACACTTAATTGTGCTCATACAAAATCTATACCTAGATAAAGAAGCTATTATTGAAAAAAGCAAGGGAACATTACATGGTTTAAAATTAAGAAAAATGTGCATCAGGGCTGTATCCTTTCTCCATATCTATTCAGTCCCTATGCTGAGGAAATAATTAGAGAAGCTGGGTGTAGAATGTGGCTTCAGCATTGGAGGAAGACTCATCAACAGCGTGCCCAGTGCACAGGACACAACCTTGCTTGCTGTAGAAGATCAAAGACTACAGCCTGCAATATGGATTGCATCTCAACATCAAGGAAAAAAGGTTTTTCCACTGGCCTGTAGGCAACGTCATGATCAGTTAAGAAAGGATTGAAGTTGCCAATGATTTCTTCTTGCTTGGATCAACAATCAGCACTCTTGGTACAAGCAGTGAGGAGATCAGAAGGAGTGTTGCTTTGGGCAAGTCCACTGTCAGAGACCTCTTGAAAGTATTGAAGAGCAATGATGTCAGTTTGAAGACTAGGGTATGACTGATTCAAGCTATGGTCTTTTCAATCACTTGCTGTGCTTCTAAGAGTTGGACAATAAATATGGATGACAAAAGAGGAAGTGATATCTTTGAGTTAGGGTGTTGGAAAACAGTACTGAATATCCAAAAGAATGAACAGATATGTCTTGGGGAAAATGCAGCCAGAGTATTCCTTCCAGGCAAAGAAGGCAAAGCTCTGTCTCACATACTTTGGACATGTTGCAGTTGTTGTTATTGTTATGTGCAGTCGAGTCGTAGCGACCCTATGCACAAC